CATCGACATATGGTAAATGACCTTAAATGGTAAATGACCTTAAAGGGATTTGGCATAGAATTTTGCGTATGTATTTGTTAACCGATGGCACATTTTTGTTAGACAAGTTACCATATGTGTTTTTGGGTTTAGTGCAAAAAAAAATTAAATATGTCAGAAAATCAACTTTGGAAACCCGAAATGGGCGAAGTCAACTGGCAAAGCTGGCAATATTTTAAAATATGGTAATGCACATGAGTCACAGACTGCCGAAGCCACTTGCTTACACATGCATATGTGTGTACACACTTATGTATAGGTAAATTAAAGTGTCTTCCCTGATGAAAAAAATTATCAATTGATAAAAAATAACCCACTTGTAGGTAGCTTTTTTGCGGGATTTCTATTAAATGTATAACTTGTAGTTTACTACAAAATGCTTACATGAAACTAAGTGAAAAGCAATGCCGGAGTAAGGCAGAACATTAATGCGCACACCACAAACCGCAGGAGTAGCTCGTTCAAGTACTAAGCATATATCTATATACGGGAAGCGCCATCTGTAACAAAAATCTTTTTGCACTGCTAATTCCTTTGACTAATGAACCCCTATTTCGCCATATGATTTTTAACACCTATCTTTAATGAGATTTGTGAAAATGAAATTAAGAAAAAAGGGGAAGATACAAGTAATTTTTGAACAAAAAAAAAAACCAATGCTTGTATAACAAAGACATACCCATTATGTTATTCGTTGTGTACCGTATTTTTGTCCATGATCCAAATATTAGAACAAAATCGAATTAACATGGGACCACCTCCAAGGAATCTCATTTCCATAAAGAAGATTTGTAGAATTCGGTCAACGTTGTCAAAAGCCATATCCAAGTATCGTCTATACCCAACAAGCAAAATAAACTTAAAGAAAGTTTTTTTTTAAGTTTTCAATTATAAACATTAAGCTTACAAAACGTTGATTTTTTGTTTATAAAACGCTTGAAAGTAACGTAATATAATCGAAAAGGAACATTGGTTATAAGCGTAGAAATATAAACTTGTAATAAATGTTCAAAAGAAAGCTTTTATAAGCGTAAAAGTGTAAACTTATAATAAAGGTTCAAAAAAAGTTTTTTATAAGCGTATGAATATAAACTTACTAAAAATTTTCAAAAGAAAGCTTTTTATAAACATTTTTATAACCCTTTATTTAAAGATATTTCATTAAAAACTCATACATAGATTGCTTAACATCTAGAAACTAAACGAAATGCGAATTTTCGGCGGACTCATCTACAGTCGCGAAAATATAAATAGGGAATAGACATTTTAGCATACAAATTCACAATAACACATACAAATTAAGCATAAAAAAGTTAATTATTACATCTTGTTGCGTGCTTTCAATTACTTGCGGTTATTGGCAAATCGGAAAAGCGACATCGATGCAGCTATCGACGCTTCATCGCCGCCATTCTCACTGATGAACTTTTCTGAAAAAAATTTAATACATTTTTAATTGAATGTTAAACTAAGAAAGGATAAGGGGAACTCATCATTTGAAGACTCGAATGCTCCACCGATTAGCGCAGCGGGTCCTGGATTGGACTTTTTTTTACCACATCGGTTTTATTTAATTTTTTCTTTTAATAATATATTTTAAAAAACGTAAACACGTCACTTACGATTGAAAAAATTTTATATTTACTACTTCATGTCGTTGGCATTTACATTTAATTTATAAGTTTAAGTTATTTATAAACATTCGTACTCAAAACTTATTAAAGGTTTATTTGAAAAAACGTTTAATAAGCTTAATATTAAAAATGCTTATTTAACGCTTATTATAGCAAACTTAATTTAAGTTATTTTTAAAAACATTTACCGAAATGCTTGTTGGATATACTTGCACCTGCGTTCAACTAATTAGAAACGTAATTCGAAATGATAGTGTTTGATATTTAGTTCAATCTGTAACAAAAACCACAATAATAAAAGTTTCAAAGCTTGCAAAAATTGCAAAAGACATTAATCAAACTTCAAAAAATTGTCAACAAAATTTCCAAATTTTTAATCAGAATATATAGAAAAGTTTCGGGTATGCAGTTCTGTAGCCCATTCAATTGTAGTCTAAAAAAGTGCAAGCCTCAAATCGTTAAAAATTACCCTTGACTTTTTAGATTTTTTTTTGTGCAGTGTGTTGCGCATTTTCTTCCATATAACACATGATAAAACTTTTTTTTTATAAGAAAAAAAATCCGCAACACCCTCCAAAAAAAAATTCTTAAAAAAAAACTTATTTGACTTGAAATACTCCGGTTCTAGTACTTACCCACCAGATCTCAGTTCCTGCCACTTTAACGTACCACCCTATCAGTAGTGTAAGGCTCACCAAAAATCATTAAACTTTTTCTTAGGAAATACATAGTTTGATTAATCCAGTAGAACTATTAAAAAAAAAATTATTGCCAATTCTATCTTTTGACATATTTTGAGCAAATCATAGGAAATGAATCATATGAAATAGAATATGATTTATAGCATGTTATGGCTCTAAAGCATAGCATCGCTTCTAGCCATTACTCTGCCGTCACCCTTGAGCCTTGTGGTAAATATTTCTTCCTTAAATAACTTATTTTGAAAATCTTAGGTTAAGAAAAACTTCTTCATATTCATGGTTGAGTGCATCAAATTAAATGGGAAAAACATAGACTGATTTTTTCTATGGCTGTTTAATATTTATAAAAGATCTGCTTCAGTTGAAATCTGGCAGGTATCAAGTAACAAAAAAACTAATTTAAATATGAATAATTCAGTCGAAGCTTTTTTAGAATCTTCTTTTATTTCTATTTAGATGAAAGATTTACAAATATTATTAGAATTAATTTCCACGCCAAATTCCCGTACTTTAGAGATGACACCCGCCATTAATACTTGGACATCCCTTTCGTTGATCGATTGAGCCTGTTTTCGCCACATTCTGCGGAACTGAGTTATTCTTGAAGGTGTGCATTTTTTTTTTTTTTTTTTAATTTTGATTTCATATAGGCCCAATAACGCTCGACCGTTTGGAGCTCTGGGCGTTTCGGAGGATTGGCCTCTTTTAGTACAATGTTGATTCCATTTTGTGTATAAAACTCTTGCGCTTTTTTTGCACAATGGCTGGTTGCCAAATCAGGCCAAAACAATACAGGCACTCAGAACAACACTCCAGGTGCAACAACACATTCAGAGGGATTCGGTTTCCTTTTCAAAGTCCTTGGAACATCCTTCTCCACTATTTTATTTATAGTGCCTGATTTTCCGCCACATTCCGTCTTTCTCTCAATGCTGCAATTTTTCTTGATATTTGACAATACATTTTGTACCGTCGACCTTCCAATCTTCAGCAATTTTACTAACCGACATTGGGAGATGTGGGGATTTTGCATGAATTAGTCCAAAATCAATTTACTTTGCTGAAGTTCTTTGCTCTCCACATCACTTATTTTTAAAATCAACTGTAATAAAAAACAACGATAGCAAAATCAGCGCACTAAATAAACGGCTGATCGAGTAGTCGATAACAAAGTTATGCTATGTATGTATGTAATTTCAAATGAAGCAGATCTTACATACATTATCTATTATATTTACTTTCTTGTATCGCTATTTTATTTAGCCAGTTTTCTTCTATTTTACTTTATGCTACTTAACTTTACTTTATTTTAGTTTATTTGATTTTATTTTTCTTAATTTTTGTTTCGTGTGTTTATGGGTTAGTTGTTCGTTGTTATAAATCCCTTTCAATTCACAGCTCCTTCTTTTTACACATAACTATGTATAATAAAATTATAGCAGGCCGACGTCTGTACATTATAGGTATTAAAGAAAATTAATATGGGGGGTCTTTATTAGAACTACAGAAGCCAAATCAACAATTTTTAGAATTTTTGTCTTTCTGTCTGTTTGTGTGCTTGTATGCGGCTCACTCGAAAACTAATGCATGGAATTGAATGCAGCTTTTCCTGTGCATTTCTAGGAGTCTGACTTAAAATATAAAAAGAAAAAATTAGAGAGTTGCCACCTGTTTGAAAATTGCAGTTTAAGTAAATTGACCAGATAAGGTAAATATTATTATATGGCTGTCAAAAGAAAGACGTTTAAAAAGGCTTACAACCGAAAATAGTTTTTGTTGAAGGTTGCCACCTATTTGAAAATTCTAATTTAATTTAATTTGTAATACAAATTGAATATTGCAATTTGGGTATCCAACTGAAGAGGTTTAGGGAAGATTACTGCCGGTAATATGTTTGAGGAGGGTTGCCACCTGTTTGAAAGATTTTATTAAATTAAATTGTTAAAATAAATGAAATGCTACAATACGGGTGTCAAACAGCACAAAAATACTTTTAAGGCGCAGTGAAGCACGCCGGGTATTTGCTAATCTATAGTAAATAGAGTGGATGTTAACTTGTTCTACACATGGGTACTAAAAAATTTAAAGAAAGTTTTTTCAGTGCGCTTTCCTAATTTAAGAAAACTCTATGTAGATAAATTGCAGAGAGTGGTCTCTGCTTCGAAGATTATATCACATGGATAATTTCTTGCTAAATGTGACTAAAATCTATAAGCCGGCGATGGAAAAATGTTGTACATTTTTACACATAAAAACACATTTATACTTACATATATATGTGTCATACATACATATATACTTATAACAGCGGTAAAAGTTGTATTGTAACACTTCGCACTAGAGCTCTTGATATTCGATTAATCGAATATTCGAATTATTCGAATATGATGCTATTCGATTAGCAGTATTCGAATAATCGCTCACTGTCGATTATTCGAATAACCTGCTCGTAGTCAATTATTCGAATAATAACTGGTGCTCGATTATTCGAATGTTGAAATGTGTGTAGGTATCATGTATGAATAAATATGTACACATTTAAATAAATTGAAATGTAGGAACATAAGTTTGTTTTGAGAAAATTTTGTAATTATTCAGCAACAATATAAATGAGCAGGTTAAAAAATCACATAAAATGCATTTTACCTTCTAAGAGGAATAATTAAGTTATTAAAATGGACACATATCTGTGAAGAAACGCTTATTATTATACAGGAATGTAAGAAGGCTAACATTTTGCGGTGACAAACAACTTCTACGTGGCGTGACAATATTCCCAGCAATTGAAAAAGTGCGTTCGGACTCTGCCGATGTAGCTGGTATGCACAAATATCTTGCGGTTAATTTGAAAAGTTCCGGATAAATAGCACGGTGATTTTTCCACCATGTTAGGGGATGAATGTTGTGGCCGATCTGAGGTTCAGCCAAATAAGAGTCGATTTGTGACATAACATTATTTGTTGGGATTTCACCATCAAACAAAAAATCCAAGTCGGTATGTACTACGCTGTCTGTTTCTTGGTTAATGACATTGCTTACTTGAAGTTGGCTTCTGATAAAGTCATAAACCTTGTGTTTTGTTTGCGAATCTTCATCATTAAGGTTCTTATATCTGGGGTCTAAAAATGAGGAAATTATTGGAGCTGAAACTTTTTCTAAAACACAACCCATATTGAACCTTTCAAAAAGGGAATTACGTGCAGTTTCTTTGAATATATATTTATTTGCATCATCTTCCGACGATGCGGCCATGTGGTTTTTAATAAGACGGTGTATTAAAGGTCGCACTAAAGACAATGTCACATTTTTGCCACCACATAGCACTGCAGTCGCTTTATCAAAAGGTTTCAAAATGTCAACCAAGTTCTGCATTTCACCCCACTCCTTCTCTTGCATTTCTAGCCTCAGCGCATCGCAAGTTTTTGTAACGGTTTTATCTGATAAAACTAGGCAGATTGCATTTCGATTCAAAAGCAGCCTCTCACACATGTAATATTTGGAGTTCCAACGTGTTTCGCAGCATTGTATGAGTCGATTTTCCTTTATCCCCAACTGTACTTGGCGGTTTACTAGTGCAGTTATGGCAATATTTGAGCGATGAAAATGTGCTGTTAAATTTCGTCCTTTTTTGCAAATTTTATCGTAATCAGGTACAGCTGCTAATGCGTCACAAGCTGCAAAAGGTGAGCGCTGCACTTGATGCTGTCCCCTATATTAAAAAGTTGTTGCGCTGCTGCATTCATGACTGATGCACTGTCGTGCGTTATCGCTTGCGTTTTGTCGGAAATGTTCCAATCGGCTAAAACTACTTCTATTGCGGATGCAATGTTTTCAGCATTTGGTCGGTCTATAAATACAAATTATTTAAACAATTGACATGTCTTAAAATTAAAACACAAATTATGCATGTATGTATGAGTGTATGTGTTTATTTTATATATCTACATACAAGGTAGTTATTTTAATAGATTTACCTTCTAGTTGCTCGTTACAAAGTGTAACTTTGCACAATTCACTATTTTTGTCAATATACTGGGCTTCGACTGATAAATAACAATCTTGAGTTCTTGATGTCCATTCGTCCACTGAAATTGATGCGCTTTCTACCTCCGCCAAATCGTTTGCAATTTTTTCTCTTACGTCATTATAAAACAATTGTAAGCGTGAGAGTATACTTTGTTGAGAGGGAACTTTGTATCCTGGTTCCAATAACTTCATAAAGTCGCGAAAGCCTTCAGAGGAAAGGAAGGAGATTGGTAACATGTTACTTGCGATTAGGCGTGCCACTCCACGAGATATCAATTCCTGACGTTCAAATGTGCAGTCATGAACGGTGTCGTGCTTTTTTCTCTTACGGCCACCCGAGGTGCTCGCCTGCGTTTCAACGCATTCACCACTTGTTGCATCGATATTCGTGTCCGGTGTTCTACATATGTGTAACAAGCTTGTGCTCTATATTTTACTTATAACTTATATTTTTCTTTATTTGTACTTACATGCCACCACCACGAATCGGTTCCTTCTTATGGACTTGTTTCAAGTGAGTGCTTAGCGAGGAAGTGGAGTAGTGGAAACTAAGGACTGCTCCACAAATGGAGCAGGTAACTTGCTTACCATCACTGCACTTCGTAAAAAAACTCCACACCCAACTTTGTTTTCTTGCACTCATGTTCACAAAAACACACAAAATTTATAAATTCTTATTTTTTTTTTTAACAAATAACACTTATTACAACGATCGAATATTCGATTTTAAGAAGTTATTCGAATAATCGTAGCTTTGCGACTATTCGAATAATCGAAGAGAATCAACTATTCGAATAGTAACATTCGATTTCCAATCGTACAAACAATTGCCATTCGAACGTTCGAATATTCGAATAATCGAATTATTCGAACAATTTCAAGAGCTCTACTTCGCACAGCTTTCGTTTCGATACACGATTTATTTCGTGTTACTTAATAAGGAGGCAAGATACCGTGCCGAGAACCTAATTGCTACAATGCAAACAAAATAAAATACATACAGTTCAAGTCATTGACCTCAGAAACTTTTTATGTTCGGGCGTATGCGTAACGTCGCAAATATTTAAGTAAAAGTTTCGATTTTGATGAATGAGGATTTACAGCTGCGTGAAATTACAATAAATTACAATATTTTTGCTGGTATGGTGCTTCTGTAACCTCGGGTTTCAGAACTTTCACCAATGAATATGACTTATGGTGATTTTCATTTACAGGATATATTTAAACTACAAAGTCGTACTCCGCGTCTGTAAACAAGCACCGGGAAGCTTACTAACATACTTTACACCTCAAATGTAAAAGAATGAGAAAGGAATTCGATTAAATACGTATGTATGTATATGTAGTATGTGTGCTTTTTTCCAACATTTTTTCTTTATATCCATCGTTAAGGCCATAAACACCCCTCTATTCTCAGCGAAAAATACTGCTGTTAGCATACACTTACATACATATGCACATATGCACCTACACACTTGCAAGTGTTTATTTTTTTCATATTCGTAGCCAAAGAAATTAATGTAATAAAAATTTCTCTGCCATAAAATGTCAAACGCCATAGTAAAAACTTGTCTCACCTTGTCTCTCACACTGGCTTCCTCACGTAAATTTCAACTTCCATAAAACATTTTATACCATTCCCCACAGCCACAAATGCGCATTGCATTTGCCTTTCGCGCTTTTGACACTTGAACGGTTCTTCCTCTTGATTTGACTTATTGTTGGTTGCAGTTGTCATAAACTTGTATGACATTTTTTTTTCACCCTGTAATTGAGGTAATTTTATGGCCACTTATCATCGCCCTCTTTCAGATTCTCAATCATCGTTAAGTGGCCATCAGTGCCGCAATTGATATTCGCTATTTTGGTAAAAGTTTTCACGCTACACGTATTTAAAGTCGCATTACAACGAAAAAAAAGTTAAGTAGATTACTTGTGAAAAGATTTATGTCATTTTCATATGAATTCTTTGCCAAAGAGTAGGCAGACTCGTAACCTATGTTTAAAAAAATGTGTTCTGAATCATAATATCTTTTCGATGCTATATATAGTCCTACACTATTTTCCTACAGTTTATAAATAGCTAACAATTAAAATTAAATTATTTAATTCACATTTCATTGAGATTTTTCAATGAAACGATGGTAAAGAAAATTGTAAAAGGTGAAGGAAGTTATTTATGTTTTCTTGAAAATTACATACAAAGTTGCTTGAAATTGAATAAATTTTTCACTATATGTATGTATGTATATATAAACTATTTTAATAATGGTCTTTAGATGTGGTTTCAACGCCGCCCGTATAACCCTTGCTGACATTTGTGAAAGTGGAACATCAGATTCGAAACATTTTCTACAGCTTTGTTGTCTCTTTCGTTCTACACTTCACAGGTGCTATTTCGCATTTAAAAAAATCTAAGAAATCAAAAATTTTACCTTCCGTTTAATAGTATTCGATACCGTACAAGACAGCCAAGACCTCCGCTTGACAATACATATTGGGCGGCGCTTGTAGTTGGCTCACAACTTTGGTATAATATAGTCGGCAGCAAATGCTTTCATGTCAGATCGAAATCTATTTATTTCTTTAGAGTGGCCTAAAACCAGCAGTCTGATTTCGCGGATAGCAGCTGAATTTTCGATCAATAAATTTATCGATAATAAATCGGACCGCACGTTCGGAGTCTCCATTGGGCAGCATCTTAATGCACCCGTTTCGCTCCCGTTGGGAGTGGAACTGCGGGCTTATCAACCCCAAGGTACTCTGTCAAAGGCTACCAGTCCTGAGTCGGTGGAGGCTCAACTGGTAGAAGTATACGGCTTACGAAAGGCTTACCAGAGACTTAAACCTGGTACCACGGGGAACAGAATTCCCCCGGAATATGTTCGTCGGCGAGACAAGCAAGACTAGCGAGACAAGCAAGGCTTGAAATACAGGAAAGACAAGCACTAGCATGATAAGCACGACTAGAAAAATGGTGAAAATGTAGGTGAATGAAGTGATGGAAAATGAAGTTAATGATAGAAAAACGGCGAAAAATTAGTGAAAAACGGTGGACGAATTGTTTTGAAAATGGTGATGTCCAAGTTGAGCAACTCGAGCAGTTGCGAAAGTTGAGCGATTCGAGTCACCTCACCTGGTTAAAGGAGGGCGCTCACGAGCGAGGCGAGTAAGACGTGCGAGATGAGCAAGGCGAGCAGATGGCTGAATGTGTGCAAGTTGAGCAACTCGAGCCGTTGCGAAAGTCGAGCGAGTTCGAGCGACCTCCCTGGATTGTGCCAGTAAGACGAGTGAGACGAGAAAGATGGGTATGAAGTGTGCACGTTGAATTGGAGATGAGTGTGTAATTCAGTAGTCGAGTAAGTTGTGCCGTTGTGAGCCAAGCAAGTTAAGTATGTCAGGGTGAGTCGAACAGGTCGGGAAAATCTCGCTGGTGACCATTACTCCGGGTTTGTTCCTGATGCGGCCCCTCGGGGAGTATCGTGGTGGCTGTGGTTTAAACCCAAGTGCGGGTAGAACCAGAAATGGTTCAATGTGGAGTTGCTTTGCAAGCAGGTGCCGGACCCATAGTGCGGCAGAGGTTTAGATGGGGCTCGACCCCTACCAAGGTGGTTAGTGTGTCCACCCCACACTGCCAATTGGTACTGAAGCGCTTGCATTTCAGGGCGCTCATCAAGGCATTGAATTGATCCTTTGTGCTTTGGAGTGCCGAGATGTCAGGTCATTTTGGCAGATAGTCACGTTAAGCACCGACACATCTGCACTCGTGGCGCCAAAAGCATCTGACCACTGATTTACGCTCTGGTTTTTAACTATAAAGTTCTTTGTTAAGGCTGGCCATCACACCAGCGCTTCATATGAAAGTACATAGAGGCCAGCTATAGCCGAAGTATACACCCAGTTTTTGATGGTGGCTTCGATGGCCGAAGAGGGGACTGCTATAATTGGTTGCGGAACGAGGAATGCCTGGTCTGAGCCAACTCTGGCCAAAAGGTCTGATGTCTCATTACCAGGTACTCCAGAGCGACCTGCCAACATAATAACGCCTTTAGTGCAGCTTGGCTGTCACTGCAGACACGTAAATTCCTTCCCCTCCACCTATTTCCCACCACGTAGGCCATGGGCTTGAGGATTGCAAATACCTCAGCCTGGAAGACCGAAGCATACTCCACAAGAGAAAAGTGAAGCTTGTCCCCATTAACTTCGATAAAGACCGCATAATTACAAAAAAAAATTTCTTCATCAAATTGGTCAAGTCGTTTACCGAAATATTGCGAACATACGCGCCATGTAATTTTTATCTAAAGATTTTCCATTGACAACAGAAATTTAAAACACATATGTATGTACATAAATGTGTGATGGTTTAACATAACAAACTAAATAAGCGATTGACATGTTTTCGTGCTCCACACTTGTTTGAAATGTATATATATGCCAAGGGGCTTTTGGAAAATAGACACAGAAATTCTTGCCGCAATGTCTTTTACGTGAGACATCAAAGAAGATTGCTTTTGTGCCTGCCACAACGATTAAAAATGCCCTCGGGAGATGACAATCGGCTGAATTATTTGCCCTCAAGTACTTCTCAGTTATGCTATGTGAACTACACAGTGAGGTTGTACATATTTTGTGTATCTGTGTATTAGCCAGGAAGCAATTGCCTTTAACGGTAGCTTAACAATGTTATCAGCGCGCTGAAAGTATGAGCCATAAAGCTGATTGCAAGTGTTTCCGCTTTAAATTTTCCGTAATGATGATAATAGCAAAGAGCCAACACAGATAATAGAGTTAAAAAGAGGACGGGGAATAATAATGGAGTGGAAGTACATAAAAATAGTACACTTAAGCATTTCAAAAAGCTTGTCGTCTAAATAATTATCTATAAACGTACATATATATTTTATAATATGTATGTATGTATGTAAGAAGCCGTTCACGTTTAATCAAATTTTATTGAAGCGACTTTAGCTTCAAGAATATCTATAGATAGGTCAAACCATACGTTCGCCTTGACACTAGATACATATAGAAGCAGACTTGTATGTAAGCCGCTTATTTTGAAAGTCTCATAAGTCATTTCGTGCAGCTTGACTTCAGTGAACATTTGCCCGTATCTGAACGCGTCTGTTATTCGTTTATTTTCATCAGCAAAATGTAAAAAGTTTTGTCACGAATTTACTACGCACGACAGATGCATTCGGTTAAAAATAATCAACCATTTAAGCACAAGAAGTGGAAATGACTTATGTCACTTTCAAAATAAACGGCTCATAAAAAGACAAGGACGCACAGAATATACTTAAATAAATATTCCCATATAAAACTATTTGGAAGAAAAGCATTAAAAGCGAAAATATCTAAACATTCATTGAAGTTGCATGGCATTTGACGAACGCGTTTGCCAACTATGTTGATAACAAAAGCAACGAAGAGCACATACATATACCAGGCACAGAGTCAGAGCAGCAAAGCGAATGTGTCAATAAAAATGAAATGCAATTGAATGAAAGCGAAATCAAATCAAAAGAAATACTATATGAAGGAAAAGTAAGGTATAGCCAGAGTACACAAGTAAGGAGACGAACCCTTAGTATATCTTAGCAAAAAGATTCTAAAATAAAATAAAAATAAAAATGAAATTACTAGACAAAGATATTAAAGTGGATTGAATAATGAAATAAAATAAAAATGAGCGTTTACGATGTACGATTCGATCGTACCAGAAAAAAAAGTTCGACTTTGACACCTTAGTCTGAAAGTAAATTAAAGTTCGCCAAAAATTAGTAAAATATAAAGATGTTTGACTATTCAAAAATAAATATTTAAACTAAATTTTGTATTGCCGGTTTCTATTCTCCAAGCGTTTCAGTGGCTTCCATAAAAATA